CCTAACGAGTGACACTGGGTGTGTGGCTTTGAAACACTTCGAACCGTATCCTTTTTGCGAATGCACGAATTTGAGGGCGCCTGTGGGGAAAACGCCTCATGTCTACATCCGGCTTGCAATGTGTTTCCCCTTGTACCCCGCATTTGCATTTCCCCCCTTTTACAGAACCATGGGACTTATCATGATGATTTTAGACATCCCGGGAACGCCAAGATGGGCAGCAAAGCATAGGATTATGATAAGGAAGTACATAAAATTTTTAACGAGGTTAACGGGGAAGGCAGTTTGGTTCTTCTTTTTAGGTAAGACAGCGGCTTAGAAGCATTCTGCCTAAGGGGGAGATAGGGCCCCCCGACATATCTCAACCACCGTTAAGTATTTTCCATTTGCACACATCATATCCACATTTGCTAAACCCTCTATATGAACACTACAAACGGCTTTGCTCATTGGGCACGAATGCGCCTTCCCCCCCTCCCCCTGCAGGAGCCATGTCGTGCCTGAACCTATGGCCTCACTCGAAAAAGGTTACCCTCTTTAGATCTTTCTGGGTCGTCCTATTCACTAGCTTTATCCTGGGAGTTGCCGTAGTTGGATTTTTAATCGCATTAAGAAAATCATTAAGATTGGAAAAATTAAAAAAGACGATCAAGCTGGTATCTAAAGGAGCCTATATTGATTGTTACAGAAAATATAGTGTAGCAGATCCAGACCACGGAATGCAATTTGAAGAATTCAATAGGATGTGTTCAGATCACACAAATGGATATATATATTTTGACTTTTTGGATTTATTTATCGTTTTTAATGCCCTAGATGAGCACCAAAAATGTTCCATAAATGAGAGAGAATTTTTGGATTGGATAAATGGTCCTGTGACTTACTTGTGAGGAAACGTAAATGTAACGGACGGGTTCGTTCCCTGTGTGGTATCTTTATCTGGGTGGAACATATAATGTAGATCATGTCCCTTCCTCTACAACCCTCATTATGTGCGTGTGTTCTCCTCGGCATACATAATGCTCATAAGCACACACCGGTCGTGAACACAGAATTGCATAAAGTTAAGTAAAGCGCGCACGCACACACCGTCCTACGCGTATGAGAGGAAGCTGGATTAGATTCGTAAAAAAATATTTTTTTGTATGCTGTTAAGGTTTTTGTTTATCATTGTGAAATAATTTTTTATGAATTTCAATTTTTTTTTTTTTTTTTTTTTTTTTCATTACGCATTTTTATTCACCTGTTAACATATAAACGAAAAAGAAAAGTTGTCAAAAGTTATATGTTTTTCTTTTTAAGCTATCAGGTAAGTGTTTTCCTTCCCGCGTGTAACTGTCTGAATTATTTTATTTTGGGGCATTCCACGCTTTGCGACTTCGTAGTGGAGATGAAAATATGGGACCCCCCACGTTCCAGGAAAGTGCATGCAGGAAAAAAAGTGATGTCGATGCTCGCATACAGGGGAACAGAATCGCACTTGGCGTTTTTGAGGCGTCTTACCATGATTTGTGAAATTAACATCGGGTGTCCGCTTTGGCAGTAACGATCCCATTTACCATGGAATGTTAATTTTTTTTTTTTTTTTTTTACATGTTTGGAGTTTCGGCTAGGAGCGCCGGAATGGGCAATAAGTTTATATGGAGAAAAAAATAAAAATAATAAAGTAGCACACATGTGCGTTCATACATGCGTACACAGATTGGTATTCAAAAACATCAAACAGTTTGCCTCCTTCAAATGGGTTAATCTCCATTGGGTACATAACAAATTTCACCCACGTGCAGTACCAACGAGAGATAGGAGTGCTTCTCCTCGAAAACAGTTTATTCATCCTACATGTTAGATTTAGTGCAATGCCGAATTGGCTACCCCTGGGTGGGCTCTTTCCATGCGAATCAAAAAAAAAAAATAAAAAAAAAAAAACGGCTCTTGATTGGTTACACAGAAGATGGTTGACCAAGTGGTATGGGGTAAACTTCTACCCGCTTCTTAACCACCTGTTAACCACTTCCTAACTAGGCCCCCCCCGTGGACTCCTTCGTGGCGCCAAAGTCAATGCTGTGGGATGAATTCGCAATGATGTCCTTCTCTGGCAAGAATGGAATTTCATTATCCTCAATGACGAGAGCATTTTTCTTCAAGTCGATCTGGCACTGGTGTCTTCTCAACAAATCCAGCCCGAATATAAAATCAATGTCATACTCATCAATAATGGTTAACGAAACGGCGTAGAAATAGTTTCCAATTTTAATATCGACCATGTGGATTTTGCCCAAAATGGATTTTGTACCAACTCCTTTGGCAATACCTGTAAATCTCCTATCCATTAATCTCAGAATGTTACATTTTTCAGCACACTGCTTGGACATGATACTTGACTGGGCTCCCGAATCAACAAAAGCATGCACCACGTTTTTATTTATTTCAACAGGAATGTATAACATGTAAACAACTCCAAATGCTTCTGGGAAATGTTCCTGGGCTAATGCCAAATTTGAGTTTATTTGATTTTTGTAAATATTTTCATAAATGTATTTTTGTGCATCTTCTGAGAGTGGATCTTTCAATGCATTTTCGTACATACGTTGTTCTCTTTCTTTTTCTTTTTTTTCATTTTCCAATTTTTCTTTAACAATTTTTTTTATTTCTTCTACATTTTGGCTAGTTATAGCATCATACAATTGTTTGTCTTGTAATTGTAGGACACCCATTCTGGCTCTGTCATTTTTTAAGTTTAGTAAAATTTCGACTTCTTTCTTGATGTATTCGTTTTCTTGAAAGGTGCGGAAATGCTCCATCAGTGCGTTAAAAGCTGCATTATTTACTCCTCCCGCGTTGTTAAGATTGTTCGTGTTGATTCCGCTACCGCCGCTGGGCACAATTCCAGCCCCTGTGGAGGTGGAAGCCGCCCCTACTCCCGCTCCTGCCATTCCTGCCTGAGTGCTAGAATTCCCTTGGGGCATCAAATCCAGACTCAACTTCTTCCTCACAAAGAGCAGGTCTCCTTCATTTATATTGAGCTTCTTCACCGTGTCGAACTTGTTCACGGGGGCCCCATTGTATGTCAATTCGTTTTCGTTCATGTTTAGCGCGAAGTCATTTTCGATAATGTTGATGATGGTGAAAATTTCCGTGTCTTCGTGCACATCCAGGCTGGTTATGATGTTGCTGTCGTCGGAGATGGTGATGAAGACCATTCTGCGGGTCAGTTGTGGTGTAGGTACAAGCTCTGTTTTTGTAAGTAGAAACTGTGTTTGTACAAATTGGGACCTGCCTCCTGCGCACAAGCGGGCGACTCGATTGCCACTGGCACTAGAAGCCTTCGACGAAGAGACAAAGCGGCGGAGCGATGAGAAGCAGTTGCAGAACGGGCGTACCCAGGGAGGTAAACACACAACGCACGTTATGAGGATACCTTACTTGGGAAGAGAAATGGAAGCGGCGCACAGGGAACAGTGGACGCATTAAGTGGGCAGCATACCCTTCACATGTGTGCACTTTGGAACTACTCGCATGCACGCATATGTGAATTTTTTTCGCTTGAAGAAAAGTCGGATTTTATGAGTGCACAGCTGTGTAGCGGTGGGGGGGCAACGTATGCTCGATGTGAATTGCGGAAAAGGGGGGACGCGGGAAACAACAAAAACAAAGGTGAATGCGCAGGGAAACGAATATGAGAAAGGAAAACGAATCGAAAACAAATATATAGGGAAAATACAGGAGAAAACACAAAAGGGGGGAATGGCACAAAATAAAAAAAAAAAATGACGTGACGTAAAAATATGTGGCAAGAAATAAGAAACAATCAAATAGGGCCACGTTCAACGAAATTTTGTTTCGCAAACTCTCTTTTTTTTTTTTTTTTTTTTCCGTTCTTTTTTCATGCACGAATTTTGAACCATAACGTGTACGCACTATTTTCTAAAATTTTGAAATGCACAAAATAGAAGTGCAAATGTCTTAGTATAAATTTTGAAGGAATAACAACATGAGAAAATTCTTCCTCAATTTTATTTTCCCACTTTTTAATATCACACTTTTAACATGAGGGGAGGATTTTTTTTTTTTTTTAACAATATGCATTTGTACATGGAACAACGTTGGGTGTATGGACGCAGGGTGCCCCTTTGTGCAAGCGATATCTTCTGGGGAAAGAGAATACGTGTGGAGGCAGAACCTTCCTGCATGGGCAACACGCGTGCTTATGGAAGGTGCATACAACTGTGCCGCTCGCATGCCTTTTTTTGTGGGTGTATGTGTAGGGGAACATCTGGTGGGTAGCTTGCTCAGGTGAGCGAGCACAAAGGGGTCTATGACCCCTCACCATCATGCCGAAGGTGTGCCAACTTGGGGAAGAAATATACCACAAGGGAGCGCAGAATAGAGGGTCCTTTTGGTGCATATTTGTACACGTATGTTATGGAGCTTCCATTATGTTTCCCACGTTGGTTACTTAGTCACTTGACGACTTGGTAACTTAGTAACTGTCCTTTTTTTCTTTGTACATCCCAATTTTTCGCGTTAGTCACTGATTCTTTACATCTTGCATGGGTGGCAACTCCAATTGGCTATGTACCTCTGTTCGAATAAATGAACCGTTGCAAGTGGAACAGGTGTTCTACCCCCACACCCTGGTGTCAAAAAAAAAAAAAAAAGAAATTAAGAAAAACCCAACGCGAGACGGAAATGCATAACCAAAGGTGTGCATGGAAAAAATAATAACTGAATAATATTTGTCACAAAAAAAAAAAAAGGAATAGTAGAACGGAAGGAGCAGCCTTTTAGGGGGGGCGCCATCGCTCTCCTGATAAAAATGATAATGGGAAAGGGGGCCCACTGGGTAGGGTGTAGCCCAGTAGTCCCCTCGTTCGACTACGTTCCGGGATTGGACAAAATTGGGAGAGCCTCTTCTAACAAATACAGAAGAGCCTCCCCTGCAGTAGTACTTACTCCCTCTCGTTATTAGCCAAGCCACACAGCGCGCTGGATCTCCCCGCTCACGGCTCGGTTCCCGTGCGGAAGGCAAAGGACGTGTCGAGCGGGTTGTACTTGTAGATGTACCAGAAATCTTCCGTCTTTAACTCCGCAGGAGTAAGCTTGATGTACTCGTATATGGAATTCAGTTCGTCTTTATCCAAAGGGTTAATGTTGTGTCTGTTCAACAGCTGTTTATAAATTAGGTCAATGTTAAGGTTGTTAAAAATGTCTGGCATTTCCTGCCCCAACTGTTCTTGATATTGATACAGCTCTTGGGAGTCATTTATGGTTTGGCTGATGACCTTTTTCATTTTTTCCCTGTTTTCATAAAAGCTCGAAATTTCCTCATCGGTAGGGACTACCGAAATGTTATTACCCTTAAAGTAAAAATGAAAGTCGGAGGTATCATAGAGGTACTTTTCTTTGTTACTTAATTTCGTCATTACTCCTTTGTATATTTTGTACTTGTCCCACTCGAACAGTTTGCTTTCTTTTAGGGCAAAGTATTCTCCTTTTTTTTTTTCCCTTTCTACCCATATACGGGAACTGATAAAATTTGAATCATTTGGTTCGTCGTTTAATCCAAAAGTGGATTTTATGCGATCGTGTTCTTCTTTCATATCAATGTACTCATACCTTTTGTTCAAAAATGGGAGAGGGTAATTATTCCAATGGGTCCCTCCACTCAGTATAGGGATGTTTGCACTTTTATAAAAAGCCGTTTGGCTAGTTTTGTTTGGATCCTTAAGACTATTAAGAATTGTATTTCCATCCATAGTGCATCCTCTATACCGTAGGAAAATTTCGTGCAAATCCCACTCTGTGTGTTGATATAGGGGATAGTTCAGCGCCAGGACAGAATCCTTTAATTGGCCTATGGTTCTGGGGCCAATTATAGAGGAAGCAACAAATGGTCTACTATAAACGAAGCTTAAGCTTAGCTGGGCTAGGGACATGCCATGTGATCTTGCTAACTTCATGTATTCGGCTGTGGCGTCTTGAGCCCACACACATCTGTGTGATTTGTAGAGATAGGGGTACTTATTGCATCGGCCATTCCTTGGACCGTATGATAAATATCCGTAATCCTCGGCTTTGTTCCCTTTAGAGTCATCAAGATCGTGATCGAGCTGCTCATCCCCCAGGACGGTATCCGGGCCCATAGTGTGATACCTCTCAGGGTCTAAATACTTCCCTGTTAGTATTCCCCCAGCTAACAACCCATAAGGAACAAGCGGTACATTAAAATTTTCTCGCAATATCATTTCTACAAGACCAGATGACTCCACCTCATTTCTGTGTAACAAATTGTACAAATTCTGTGCACACACAATTTTCATAAATTTTTTTTTTTTTTTTTTGGCCAAACTACACCATTGGTATATTCCCCAAACAGATTCGTTCGAAACAGCAATATGTCTGACCTTCCCTTTGAGAATTAACTTCTCCAAAATTTCAAACTGCTCTTCTATCGACATTATATTTTTTCCATTTTCCATATCCTGTGAGGAATTCAAAATTTCAAATCCCCATACGTAGGTGTCCTCCCCCTTTGCTCCATTTGGTATGTACCGTTCAGGCATATCAATGGTTAAAATGTCCACATAATTGGTATTTAAATTTTTTAGAATTTTATCTAGCCTTTCTTCTATGTTGTAAAAGGTAGGCGTGTCATCTTTGAGATCTTCCATAATCCAACTTAGGTAATATTCTCCATTAGTAATTTTATCCACATTTCTTGAGGAACACATTCGTAAATTTATGATGATGTTTTCTCTTTTCTTATCTTTGAGGAATAAATTCATGTTTTTATTTTTCCCCTTTTTGTAGCTGATGGGGTCATGTGGAAATGGGTCATACTCACAGATATCAAAAAAGTTTATTCCATATTCGTAGAAGGCCATGTTCAGCAGCACATTAACATCGTCTTTGCTGATGAAGTTCTCATTTTCGTACATGTTGGTTCCTAGACAAAGTTCACTTACACACAGGTTGCTGTCGCCTAACTTTCTGTACTTCATTCCATATATCAAATCGGCGTGGGTGTATATTTTATGTGTGTAGAAACTGTTGGAGTTGCTAATTCGGAGCAGTTCGTAAAAAAGGTGTTTTTTCCTCAGATCGTATTTCTCCTGTTGAGTTGACGAATTTGGTACATCGCTCGGCTTCTTCTCTGTGTGTACATTTTTTAAAATGATTTCCATGAACTCTTGGCTTCCTGGGGGTGGCTTTTCTCCGAATCGCAACTTTTCAATGTTTTCTCTCTCTTCGTAAAGCTTTTCATTTTTTTCGTCTTCCTGGAGCATAAACTCTACCCTTTTGATGAAATCGATTTTGCGTTCCCTCTGCAGTTTTTCCTGCTCGGCAACGGGATCCTCCTGCTGTTTTGGGGACATATCGTCTTGTGAAGTGTCCTCTGTTCCTTCCCCTTTCTTGCCAATTGATTTGCCCTCCTTTTGACTTCCCCTCTTGCGTGCTCCATTCCCCCGCGCTGCGATTTCCCCCTTTTCGTCTTCCATGGCAAACTCTTCCTCAAAATATTCGGCCGCCTCATTGTCGTCAAACTGGTCTTCACTGGATTCCCCCAGGGTGGCGGTTCGGTGAAGAGGTTCTCCCAGCGGTGTATCTCCTTTTGTGCCCCCTTTAGCGGTCTTTCTGGCACCCCTTTTTGCAACCTCTTTGGTACTCTTTTTTGCGACTTCTTTGGTACCCTTTTTTGCGTTCTTTTTTTCGCCTTTTTTCCTTCCCCCCTTTGCTTTCCCTTTAGTCGCCCTTACTTTCTCCTCCCCCTCTGCTGCCCCTTCACAGGTGGATGTGTCCTCACCCGCTGCACCACCAGTTTCATTCACCATGGGGAAGTTTTGCTCCCTTTTTTTCCTTCCCCGACGTGTCTTTACTTTTGCCTTTACCACTTCATCCTTTTCTGTGCTTTCCGGTTGTTCATAGCTATTGCCTACATTTTTCCTCCTCCTCACGCACAACTTTATGCCCCGAACGCTTCCTCCAGCACAGTTGCCCCGGGGCGATGCATCACTATTAGGTTGAGGCCGCTTTCGTGCTCTCCCTAACTGCACACAAGTAATGACATGTCCTTTGAGAAAAAGGTAGGGAAGCCGTCTATTCTGAGGACACGAACACTCGTCTGAACATTTTATCTTCAGAAATTTATTTCTCCTTGGAACGATTTTAAAGTCACGTGTGCGTTTGTCTTTTGGATAATATCTGGTGCTGGGAATTCTTTTCCTTCGCACAGAGGAAAACGTCTCGATAAGGAACCATGCGCAGATAGCTAGGAACGAGACCCTTTTCGTTTTCATAACTGTCAGGTTGGTGAGTCGAGATGTTCGGGGGTGCAAAGCGGCTAGGGCACTCCCACAAGCACATACAAGCACACATAAGCACACACAAGTACACACAAGTACACACAAGGACACATATGTGTGTACGTACTTGTGCACACTGTTATACCTTCCGTGATTTCACGCTCAGGCATATGTTTGTCCTCCTATTTGTGGAATACCATTCGGCACATTCGTCCGTATATCTTCCCTGTGCCCTCTCCCTGTTCCTTCAATTTCATCTTGAAAAAATTGGTTATCTTGAAGGTATCATGGGAAGAATGGTACATGCGTTATTCCTGCTTTATCTCATCCCTTCTTTTTATGTTTAGCCACAAATGAGCGCAATGTTTCGCTGCTCTTGTGAAGACTTCTCCAAATTTAGTAAGCTCGAGTTAGTGTTGCCATTTTTTTTTTTGTTTTTTTCAATTAGATCTAGCGTGTGAAAAAAAAAAAAAAAATGTTACCATTTTGAGGAGTGCAAAATGGGGGAATAATTAGCCAGAATGGTTCCCAAGAGCATTCACAATAAATTTATTACAAAATAGGACCTGAAGCAAGCAGAGCGAATGAGGTGAAAAGTCCCCTTGTGTTAGGTAAAAGAAACGGAGGAAAAAAAAAAAAAATAAAAATAAGGAAAATAACTGCATGTTCAACCTTATGGCCAGCTTTTCTGCGAACATGCAGGGAGAGCAGTGAAAAAAAAAAAAGAACACAAAAAAAAAGAAACCTTTGGATATTTACCTACATATATATATACATAGATGCAAGCATGTACAAATGTTGCCCACGTTTGTCACAAAAAAATGTATTCACAGAAACAGAAAACACATCTTTTAGGAACTCCCCTGGCATTTATATATATATTTTTTTAACCAACTTGAAAGTACAAAGCATATTTGTAGCTAATTATTTTGCCTATTTCTACGAAAATTACCACATTCTTAATACCGTGGCCAACGCGAAAAAAGAAAAGAAAGTGTTCCTTATGGTGTGAATAATACTTTGCTCCACTTTCCCAATTTGTTTTATGCCACTCCTGTTTGTGAAGTTGGACCCACATAGGCCTCCTTCTTAGATTTAGGAGAAAGCATTAATTGGAGGGGCCTATCCACCGAAGCAGCAGAAAGGTGTATGTGCCATAGTCCCCTCGCCCAGTGAGCATTCGTAAAAAGGCACACAACCCAAAGCGGATATATCCTTTCATGCATGGCAAGTAATAATCACCCCAGACGGAATTTCCACCTAATAACACTAGTGTAACTGCTTTTTAAAATGAGAAAGCGAAAATATGGAAGTCGGTCTACCCCCACAGGGAACGAAGCAAATGAGAATCCCCTAGACGAACAGGAAAGAAAGTACATTTACCCAAGCATCGCCCACTCGCCAATACTGTTGCACAACGACCAGGTCATCTACGCATATGGTAGCAGTCTGATATTTTATTCCCTGAAGGAAAAGAAATTTGTGAACAAAATCGATGAGCATCAAAATGCTATTAGATCATTAGATGTTAATATGAATGGAAATAAAAAATATTTCTTGACAACTGGTGATGATAAAATTATAGTGATTTATGATGAGCAGTGGTCCGTGTGCCACAAAATTGTGCATAAGAAAAAAATCGTCAAGGCGTACTTTTTAAAATATGTACAAAAGGAAGACAAGAAGTTTGAAATAATTTTCATTGATAAGTATGGAGACGTGTACTTGTTTGACCTGAATGTGGTGGAGCGCGGGTGGGGACATGTGACGCAGGGGTCCCTCGCCACGGGGGAATCCTCAACCATTGGGAAGGTCCCAATGACGAGCCAATCGAGCTGCACCACCACATTGAGCTATCTGCAGGATGCGCTGAACGACATTCAAGAAAAGGACGAGGATTTGTTTTTCATGAATAATTTCGAGCGCATGCTTCAGGGCGAGGAAGAAGAGCAAGACGAGGGGGAAGATAAATCGGAAGGGGGTCACTCGGGAGGTGACGAAGAGCAGTCCGGCAAACCGCTTCCCTGTGATCCACTCCCTGGTGAGGCACCACCCCGCGAGGAAGGCAAGCTTGCCCAGGTGAAGGAAAAACTCGAGCGCCACTACTCCAAGTGCTTCCAAAGCGAAACATTGATGTACCCAATCGTTACCTGTAACTCTGCAGTCATATCGCTACATTACGACAGCAACTTTTTAATAATAGGAGACCGAGATGAAAAAATCAGAATTGTGAAAAATAAAAAAATAAACAAGATATACAACTTTTATTTAAATCACAAATTATTTATTACTTCCCTCGTTTTGATAAATTCTAAAACGTTTTGTTCTGCCGCCGCTGATTGCTATCTGCACATGTGGGACATTAAGACGAAGGAAATTATCGACACGATGTATTTAGACTCCTCTTTTTTGTGCAAATTGGCAGAATTGAAGGAGCCGTTTACCACTTCTCCCCACCTGAACAAATATAAATTTGTTATCAACACATTGATTTTTAAGGAAAGTACTTGGACAATCTATGCCACTGCTGAAAATTTGAAAGGAATATTAATTATACCCCTAACGCTAAATAAAGATGGCAGCCATTTGTTAACTTTCAACAAGGAAGAAATTTCATTTTTCCCTCTTCAACAGGAGGTTTTATCTTTCATCTTTTTATCAAGTGGTGGGGATGAGTGTATACTTTTTGTCGATAGGAGTGCAGGCCATTTGCATCAGATCAAATTAACAGATCGTGGGAAGTTGGTTGGAGAGGTTGTCACCCTTGACAGCCATGCCTTCTTTGACGGCGCACAACAAATGGGTAATGGTAGAGTTCATGCCTCGTTTGACTGCTAAGCGATTGCTTTTCTTCACGGCAGTTCTGGAGATGTGAGGTGTTTCCCCCCCCCTTCAGCGAGTCACCCTTTAAACAACCCCCACATATCCCCACTCCCTGCTAATCCACATTTTTTTTTTTTTTCTTTCCCCCGTTTTTAGATATCGGATTAATAAATTACTGGAAGCACACCACAATAGAGGACGGCATCCATTAAGGGGAAATTTTCCATTTGCTGTGTATCGAGGTGTCCCCCCACTTGTGGCTGCATTTTATACGCCTTCGCAAAGTTGCAGTTTTTCCGTTTTGTTGCAAATTTTTTTTAACCATTTGACGTGTTTTTGCTTCATTTTAAAATTGTTACAGCCAGGCACTTTTTTGTACCGCTTTAGAGGAACGGGAAGAAAGTGCGCACTGCATGGTCCTCAGCAAATTTATGCCTGTGCTGCGTTAAATATATATATGGTACGAGAGTGCGCATGTCGTGTAGGTTCTCATAAGCGCATAACAACGTTGATGGCGTTGGTGCTAGCAGTTTTTATGGGTTCCTTTTTACTTATTAATTTAATTCCCCCTTTTTGTTGAAGCGTTTCCAGTGAAGCGTATTTATTTTTCTACCCCCGTTTCATTTATTTTTGCCCAACTACACGACAAGTTTTCCTAATCTAAGAAAAAACAGGAAACAAAATGTTGCGCCACAACAACGTGAAATTGTTATGGCGTTTTTTTTTACCACCTGTAGGTGGAGTGCTAACCGTTTAAGCTATTTTTGCAAATAATTAATCCATGTCTCATGTTTTGCTCAATTTGTGTGTTCATTTTTGAAAGCAATTTTTTTTTTTTTTAACCTTTTTAAAATTACTTGCAATTTGAGGAAGGCCACAAAAGGCATTTACCGCCAAGTGGGAAACAGCTGCATATAAACAAACATATGCGTATATGTGTTCAAGTGGATACATGTACCTTCTTACGAACATAAGGGTGGTGGTAAATTGTAAGCTTCAACAATAATGGTAATTGGCAGTAGGCAAATATGCGAACCATTTTGACCTAGCTAATAATGCGCACGTGTCATCCTCTTATCCGTTTAATCTGTATTGAAAGGGGAATTCAGATAGACCACAGGAGTACTTAACAAATTATGAGCGCACAGTGGTAGGGAAAAAGTAGAAACCACAACCGTGTGTGAAGAAGTGCTCACATGGGAGTTAATCGTTCCTACTGGAAAGCGCCATCTTAGGAGTTAACTTGAAGGACAGAGACGTGATGTCACAAAAAGGTGAATCCCCTCGCATTCCCCATATCCTTTGACCAAACCCGGAAGCACGAAATTGTTCGAACAAATCTATGCACAACATCAGGTACTCAAAATTGTATGTACACTTTTCACCCGCTAAGGACGCCCCCATTTGTATCATCAGAACAGAGGCAAAATGAAAGAAGACGAATCGGACCAACCTGTACAGAAAAAAGAGTATGAGAAAACGTTTTGGGAACAAATTGGGAAACCCAAGCACATTTTAGCGCCTATGGTTGATTTAAGCGAATTAGCATTTCGATTGTTATGCAGAAATTACAACTGTCACTTAGCTTTCACCCCCATGTTACATGCAAAAAATTTTGTGGAGCATGAAAAATATCGGAAAAGTTATTTTCAAAGTTGCGAAAAAGATAAACCTGTAATTGCGCAGTTTTGTGGGAACGATTCGAAAATTATTTTAAACGCAATTGAGTATGTTAAGAACGACGTGAATGCTGTTGATCTGAATTTAGGGTGTCCGCAGCAAATTGCCAAAAAGGGGAATTATGGAGCTTTTTTATTACATAAGCACGATGAAGTGGTGACTTTAGTGTCAGACATAACGAATAATTGCAATGTCTCCATTACCTGTAAAATTAGAAAAATTGACCAAGATTATCAGAAAACATTAAACTTGTGTTATGATTTACAAAGTCGTAATGTCAAAATGATTACTGTTCATGGAAGGACAAAGGAGGAAAAAGGCGTAAATATTAAAGAATGTGATTATGAAATTATTAAAATTATCAAGGAAAGATTAAATATCCCAATAATAGCTAATGGATCCATCGAACATTTTGAAGATATACAAAAATGCTTAAATTATACCAAGGCCGACGCAGTTATGTGTGCAGAAATTTTACTCGAAAAACCTTATTTTTTTTCAAACCAAAATGTCCACACAGTGGATGTGGTCAATGAGTATTACGATTTATTTTTACAGTACGAGTCCAACACAAAATATTTAAAAGGACATTTGTTTAAAATGTTATATAAGTATTTTCAAGTGCACACGGATTTGAGAGACTTACTGAATAATTGCCACTCGCTGGATGACTATGTAAACTTTCGCTCCATTTTGAACGAGAAAAGGAGTAGCGGCGTCCTCACCGAGAGCACTCTCAGTTGGTACAGGAGGTATAGGAAATCCCAGTGAAGAGGGGGCAAGAGGGGAGCAAGTTTCCCTGCCGACATATACCCGTATATGTGCACATATATATGTGTGTGGCTTCCCATTCGTTTTGTAGTTGCAAGCATGCCGCTGCTTATTTTTTTTAATTCGTCCTATGAGTTAGTTTTTGAGGGGCCTACACACCCCAATAATACCTGTTTGTCCTAGTCGTATTATTTGTGTTAGCAGTGCCCATCTTTGTGCAGCATTTATTCTTTTTTTTTTGTCAGTTTGTTTTTTATTTCCTTATGTATGATTTAGCCCTTTTACAACATTGGCACACCATTTCGGCTCTTTATTATTTTTGTTTTTTGTTTGTCATTTTTGAAAAGGCGAAAGTTGTCGACAAATGGTTTTATCGTCAATTTTTTGAAATATTTAAAAAATGTAGCGAAGCCTTTTTGGCTAGCTCTTAAAAAAAAAAAAAAAAAAAAAAAAAAAAAAAAAAAAAAAAAAAAAAAAAAAAAAAAAAAAAAAAAAAAAAAAAAAAAAAAGGAATAAATAAATAAATAAAATAGGAACTGTGCAGACAGAATTGTTCCGTATTTTTGGCGTCGTTGTGCAGACATTTCCCTTGTTCTTCCCTTCTTTTGTACTCCTTTTGCGGTATTGGCTAGAAACGAAGAAAAGGTGTTACTTTTCCTTTTTCTGCTTTCTCATTTTTTTTATCTCCAAGGTAACATTCTCAATGTTCTAAAAAAAGAGACAACGGAAATGAGGACATGTGTGCACATGCGCATTGGAGGTGTTACCGAAGCAGAAGCGCAGGAATTTTTTTTTTTCTCACCTTGTTTATTTCTCCTATTTGTGAATTTAAAAACTCTATGTCATTCTCAGACGACTTGATGTTGCTCTCAAGTTCTGATATTTTTTCCTCATAGCCCTGCGTGTCGGCATTTATATTATCATTTATCATATCTATTTGGGCTTTCAAGGTTTGTATTTGATAATTCGGGATAGTTTTACTGTTATTCACTGTGGAAGCATTATTACTGCTAGCATTGACGCTGCTACTATTGCTGTTACTTTTCGCGTTTTTAATGGCGAAGATTTTTTTTTTTAACTGACTGTCTATGTTGACTAACTGTTCTTGTTTTTTTTTCAAAATGTGTTCATTTTCCATATAGGTATTTTTTAATTTCATTAGTTCTTCTTTTAATTGTCTGATTTCTTCATATTTTGTTTGTATAGACAGTTGTGTTTCATTTAGGCAAATTTCATCTATGGCTTTTAGCTGTTGCTTGGAAATATTTTCCAGCGCCTCCTTATCATTATTCAGTTTTTGTAAAATTTCTTCGTTTTCTTTTAGTTTGTTTTCAAGCTTGACTATTTTGTCTGTATTGTCTTCTATGCTTACTTTGCTCTTTAACAATTCGATATTTTTCTTGTATTTGTTTAATTCGTTTATGGCTGATTTTTCAATGGAATTTTTGGTGCCAGCTGTGGTTTTCTTTTTCACTTGTAAAAGTACATTTTCTAAAAATACCTTCTCTAATTTTAACAAATTCTTTTTTATTTCGGAGTAAATTTCATCATTTTCCGCATTTTTATTCTCCTCGATATTTTTTTCCACCACCAGATTCATTTTCATGGCGTTCTCTACATTCTTTTTGTTATTCAAAATGGTACTGCTCGAACTCATGTACTTATTCATCCTGGGGCAATTATTGTTATTTTATGTGGAAGACACACAAATGGGTCACTTACTTTGAAGTACAGCTACAGATGGCAATCGAAGGTCACGAAAGAAAATGTGTCGCAAATTAAGATAGACTACCGAATACCACCTACACCGATGACTCATGCACAGGTGAGAACTAGGCAAGGGTGAATACGATCGTCCTTTTTATTTTCCTTAATATATGAGGTTATAATTTGCACATGAAAATGTGCACTTTTATGTTTAAGCGGTTTTGACAATGGGTGAGGGGTACATTTTTTATCGTTATTTAAAATTCATGAATAGCAGGGATTGGGAAGGCTCCTCGTAGAGGGTTTATACAAAGCGACGGAGACTCGGAAGACCAGTAGGTGCAGCAGGAGCAGCCCCCTTTCCAAATGTGCATTCTTCATAAGTGGACACGTCCATTGGCAAGGAAGTGAGCGTACATAAGTGCACACTCATCGTTCTTCTTTACACTTTATGGCTCTTCAAAATAGGCCGTTTTCACTGCAAACGTGTGAAGCAAACGCTTTTGGAAGGCACAAAGATCACGGTGAAGATTTGTGCCTATGCTTATTCAAAAGATTGACGCTTCTGTGCTTTTACACAATAGACAGGTAGTCATTTAAAAAAAAAAAAAAAAAAAAAAAATTGCAATACACATTAGAGGGCGCAGTACCTATGTATTATTCAGTATGGTAAAAAAAGGACTGTATCTCAAAGCGCGCATAAACATGACAAATCAATATTAAGAAGCGTAAAATGATTATCATCACTAATCGTATTTATTTAGCAATCCCGCTAGTGAGCATTGAAGAATCTTGAATGCTTTTAGCGTTCAAAAAAAATGTACTGTCTTTTAGAAAATGGATAAGGTGAAAAAAGAACATTTCCCGATATGACTAGACTAATCAAAGCGTATGAAACCGTTTGAATTTTCCCCATCTTTAGCACTTTTATTTAATCCGAACGATCACGTTCGGGTTAAGGGGCAACAGAATTGGCGTAGGTGTGTTCCGCATCTAAGTTGCTTCCATAAAATGTGTGTATGATAGTATAGGTACGCCTATGCTTACTTTTGCCTAGGAAAGGAACTTTTTCCTCACCTTCATGCGATTGCAAAAGAGGATGGGCATGCGAAGGCCAAAAAAGTTATACACATAAATAAAGATAATTAGCGGCAGTAGGTGGACTTTAAAATGTACTCAATCTGTTATCTTTTGACACGCTACTTCTGCCGCTTTGCCACCCTTATGGGGGAAGTTCCACTTTGTTTCTCTCTTATTTTGTTACATTTGTTTTCAATTTTTTTTTTTTTTTTTTTCATCCTTTTAACCCGTTCCTCCTTTCCCTTAACAGTAGACAATCGCCTCACAGCTGCGCCAATTATTTTTCATTGTGTTAAGGGTTATTACTGATTACCAAAATGGTAAATGCAAAAATTTCATTTTTTTTTTTTTTGTCCTTTTTTCCCATTCATGGGTGTGCCATTTTTTTTTTGGCGTCAGTGAGGGTCCACTAAGGGTCTTATATCCTTTTGTTAAAAATGACACTCTATGGAGTGCGTGCATACAAGTGAACCGTGTGGTATGGGTAGCAATGTGGAGGGCACAGGAACTAGCAAAAATAGGGTTATGAGCGACATGTTAACTAGAGTCTATTATTCAACTCAGGTGCTGGGCGAGGGTATAAAAATTGAGAGTTCTATAAAAAGGGCAAAACCACCAGATGTGATTAAAACAAACGAGGGAAGATCCTTCCTTATGTATTTGACCCATTCGGCGCGAAAACGCCCAAGAGGCACACTTCGTGTTCCACGAATAATGTGTTATGGGTTACACGTCAGGTCGGGTTTGTTCCTCGTGGGGGTTGAACAAATGCTATATTCTTTTTATTCTCACGTGAAATTAAGCTTTTTATAGCACTTACCACATGTGCGACAATTATATTTGTGCTTGGCACATTTCAGCCTTTTTTAATAAATTTTACTTATATTGCATCGTCCCCCACCACGATAGTGTACTCTGGGAAATGGCGAATAAATGCAGGTCGTCAAGTATGCATAGGTGAACGCGCATTTGCACAAGGGGAAAACATAAATGGACCCGTGGGGTGGCCTTTTTTTTTTTTTTAAGAAATAAAGATTAGTTCAAATAAATTTCCCATGCGTATCCGTTTTTTTTTTTTTTTTTTTTTTTTTTTTTTTGTTGCATTATATACCATTTGGAAATTAGTAAACTGTCACTTTTGTTGACATGTTTTATTGACATTTTTTTATGTTTGCCTTTTCGTGCGTATTTTTATTTCCACTTTTTTTTTTCTTTTCCACGCGAATTGATCTTTTCTGCGGAAAAGAAGCCCAGTTATTTTTACATTGAAAAAAAAAATAAAGGGCATTCGAGATGGCGCATGATATATTTTTGCATGTACAAACATATGCGTAAGTGCATGTTTTATGTGGAGATACGGTAGTACGTCCTCGTATGACCATCATGTCCTCATGACATTGCTCTCGTTCAGACGAAGGTGCTGTGTTAAGTAACAGAGCCCATCATGTAAACGTGAAAAATAAACCATCGGCGGTAGCGGTTTATAAAGAGGGTGATTACCCGATTTTTTTTATGCACAATTTGCGTTTATTTATTTATTTTTTCTTTTTTTTTCTGTGAAAAAAGTACATACATGTGTATACAGGAGTTTGTGCGTAACGTGTACTTTTCACATACATATGGTTGAATGAACAGAGAAAGCAGGAGGGGGTTGCTTAGAGGATCCTCCCCCTTGGTAGCTTGCTATAAAATTGTAAACGTCTAGCACAGTGGTGAGGAGTGTCTCCATTCGTCAGAGCAGTCTAGTGGGTTCATCTGTCCCCCCGCTTAGCTGACATAGACAGTGCTCTCTTCCTGTTTGTGTGTGCAAATAGGTTATTACGAGTAGAAGGAGTAACCCGCGCTATACATTGCTTAACCAGTTATGAGTCCCCATGCACTAAGACAAAATGAGCAACTACATCTGGAACAACACCTACTCGCTAGAATTTTTGAGCGAGGACTTTTATGAGTTGAACATCAGCACAAAGGACAACGTGTACGAAGTTGTGAGGAAAAGGAAAGATGACAACGAAGTGGAGAGCCTTAGCATTAACATAAGCCATCACATATGTATGTTCGTGCAGCTGTTAGATAATTTATTAGGGAAAATCAGTTACAATAACAGCATAATAAATGACACACTAAATTATAAAAGACTATCGGATATCTTTCACTTTGTAAAAAATCAGTTATATAATTGTGATTACAGTTTGTTCTTGAGGATTTATTCTATCTACCATACGTATAACCATAGAAAAAATGGATACCTCGATGTGAACACTTTATACACATTTATTTTGGACATAATAAACAAGATTGAAAATTTGAATGAAAATAATTTTTTGATTCTGCCTGGCGGGTTTTATTTACAAAAAGAAAAAATGCTAATTAAAATTCTGTACATAATTCATAAAAAAAATAATATGTACAGTTTCACAGTTTTAAATAATTCCATCTATGGCATTCAGTATCATCCTTTCAAGATTGACGAAGTTGATAACTTGGGTGTTCTCCTAAGGGACGTAACTCTGTGTATAAAAAATATTAGCAAAAATTTCCTCACCAATTCCTTATTTTGGCTGTGTCTGTACCGGTTGTATATTTTGCCCAATCCGGACAACGTTGATATTTTGTACCAGGTGCTGTTGCCATATTTGAATAACTCCTTTTTGACGAACAACTGGAATTTGAACAATAATAAAACGGTCCGGGTGTCCCAGGGGGGTGGAAGCAGTGTCAGCGGTGGCAGTGGCCACGTTGACGGTGCTAAGAGTAATAGCAGTGGTAGCGGCCTTAATGTGGACCCCTACGGAGACGTGTTCGGGCGGATGGGAAATGCCCCCAATTCGCAGAACTTCTTGAGCGGTACTTATAACTATGCAAGCAGTTCGAGTCATCAAGGTATGCATCGCACGGGGGGACTTTTCAGCGGCCTTGATCAAGCGACAAATTTTAACAACCGAAGTGAAGTGAACAACTTAATCAACTTGGATCCTTTGGGAAGCGGCACAGGGGATTTCCAAAGTGGAAATAAATTTAACACATATGAAAGCAACCCTAACAAGAAGCCGGACTATTTCAGCGCATTCGATTTTGTCGATAATGCGAGTGGCCGGGATGGGGGCAACCATGTGTATGTCGGTGGCGGAATGGGGAGCGGAATGGGAAGTGCCATGTACGGTGGGCGATCAACCGACAATTTCTTCAGCGACGGACGGGGAAACGACAAGGCGGCAAACGACAGTGAGAAATACGGAGGCATATACGTAAACATTTACAAAAATAAATTCACCTCGTTCTCCATGAGCTTATACTATTGCATAATATACATTCTGAAAGTTTTGAACATACAAGAGGAAGACATCGAGGTGTTTAAAATTTTTTTGTACTATAGCATCGTCTTGAAATTGTGTGACGATTTGTTTGTGTATGATAATATAGAGAAGAATCGCCTCGAGAATTCCCACCAGAGATTGATGGGTACAGGAAAGGAGAATATGTTCTCCAGTACAAATGATAAGCAGGCCCCTTTTTTGGGGAACAACATGTCCTACCCAGCTGATGGCTTCTCCCCTACAATGGACCTTAACCACTTGAGTGGGAACTACAACCGCGGGGGAGACGGACAACAAATGTACCTTCAAAATGATAACAGCATTTCTAAGAGCAACGTCTACGGTAAAATGGAAATGAAACAGGACCCAAACAAAATAGACTCAACCTTTTTCACCTTCCTAGACATGAGTATCAGAAAATTGTGCATCCTTTTTCATCAATATTTTTGTAAAATGAAAATGGGAATATACGACAAGAATAAAATGATAAGAAATGAGATTCTTAATGAAATATTGAAGAAGGTCATATTTGTAAAATATATGTACACCAAGGTGGAGTCTAGGCTTTATGCAGACGCAACGATAACGGGGGGCGGAGAGTTAATGAAAGGTAAAGATTACAAAAATAGCATTAAATTCCCCATGGAGATATTATTACAGGAAGATATGTACAAGAGTTATCGAAAAATAGAAATAAAAAAGGACGTGAACATTCCCATATCTTTTTACATTTCGAGGAGGACCATCCAAAATTTTGACGATCTTTATGTTATACTTTACCAGACAAATATTATTACGAATATATTAATTAATCAGAAGAACTACATTAAGCATTGCTACTTGTTGGCCTTTTCCTTCGTTTCGCATGTCCTCAATAATATGTTGCCATCCCCGAAGCATTTTATATACTTGTCCCAATTTCAAAAGCTGAAGAGATCACTCCAGATTAGTCTCTTCCAGGAAATATACCACATGCATAACGATATTTATTTTATATCGTGTTCAATTGTCCAGAATAAGCAAATAGTTATGTACAAGATTGTTAACAGTTCCATGCTTTTGTTTTTGTACGACTTTCTGTTACGTATTCCATGCGTGGACGTGTGTTCTCCGTTCGCAGTGCATTATAATGGATTCTCCACCGGGATGGGAAGTTATTTGGTTGACCCCCGGGGGGGTATCGGCGTTGGGAGCAGTGACAGCGAGTTTGCAGATCGGAGAAGAGGCCGCAGAAAGGGTGGAAGTCACTACCAAATGATGAAACAATTTTCGAGGAATGTGGCGGACAATGACAGCTACTCCTCTCTGGACGAATGCGCACACGCCGCAAGAGGAGCGGAGATACAACTGTCTGGGTACTGCATAGACATATCAGTGCTGGAATGCTTTAGTAACTATTTTCTCATCATAAATCCAAAGCTAAATATTATGAGGTCTGATATAATAGAATATTTTTACAAAATTAATGAAAAGAAAATTAACAAAAACAGTAAACTTTTTTTATTCGAAAAAAGTGACGACATAAACACTAGCGAAATAGAGATTCTGGAGAACATCAGTCTAGACTTAGGGTTAGACAGGAAGAAAAATCACATCATAGAATATTATTGTGGAGAAAATGCACTCTTCAAACAATTGATACCAGAATTTTACCACCTTAGAGATATGCTTTTCCTGTTCAAGTCCTATATGTGTCCCTATATTGACAAATTACCACCTGTGCGGGTTTACAAATACGACGACATAAATTTAAGATTTCGTTACAAGAACAAATTAAATGTTACTCTTTTTAATCGTGAAATTGATATATGTGGATATATGTGTCCCCCGAAAGATACGAAACTCAATTTTTTTTCCTTCCTGTACCAGTTTATGCAGTCTCAGGAAAGTAAGAAGGACAACTGCATTTTGACCTACTCCAACCCTAACATGTATACGAGTACGTATATTGAAAACGAGTTGGACGTTTTATACGTAAACGATTTGCCTTTTTTCCATCCCTCCTTAAATCTGCGAGATGTGGAAATTCTGTTGCAATATTTAACCGTTCCATATATTCGAATTCCTCTAATTTTGGAATTTTTTTGTGACAAGAACAGAATTAAAAGTTTCCAATCGTTTGACATCCAGCAGCTACTTCTGTGCACTTTGTTCGAGCCATACATTTTTAAAAATAAGTATAGAGTTACAGAGGAAGATAATTATGTCCCTACTAAGGACAGGAATATCTTCGCCACGAAATATGGACTCCTACTCAACGAACTGATTATGAGTCCTAAAAATGTCCTCTGCAGCATTTACTCCTATTTGGAATTCTTTTTCAGTTTTGATAAGGAGAACAGCAGTAACGGAAAAGTCATCATGGTGTTTATCGTCATGCTATGTACTTATGTTAACTCTTACATAGGATTGATACTCGAGACCAATAGGGAAATACGAAGAAATTTGCGTAACATTGAAAATATTGTCTTAAAGGAAGGACTCCTACCTAGGTGGATGTGTAGCGAGAAAGAGGTTACCCCACATACGGAGAAACAACAAACGGGTGAAACGAAGAAGGCAAAGCGGAAGAGAAGAAGGATAAAAAGAAAACTTCATTTTTTTAATAAACTCAGAAAAAAATTGATAAAAAATGAATTATATTGTTCTGATGATGTTTTCTCGAATTTAGATTCTTACTACAGGAAGATAAAAAGAAAGTTAGAGGATGAGGTTATTGAAGTTTTGTTAAAGTATGCCAGACTGTGTGTCCAGAGGAATGACATAACGACCTGCTGTATTTACCACGGGTGTATTTTGCTAATTTATAAGGATATCAAATTTAGGGAGCTCAATCGAGACAAGGTGAAAAATTTATTGTCTTCCATTTTTTTTATTTTAACTTATTACACATTCAACGCGGAAACGAACTACGCTGATTTGAAGAATATATATGGGTTGGGTTCCCTCTTTGTTAATACAAGTGACAATTTGAGTGGGGGTGGAATGGAATTGTCCCACGTGGCCAGGAACAATGACAAGAGTGCTGCGAACGCACAGGAAATACGTGGTTTTCTTGCGGACCCTTCAAGTGATAGCTTTTCCCTCCTCATTAAGACCTTCTCCGTGTGCGAATGTGACATTTTTATTTCGATACATAGGCATAGAAATATGCTGTTGAAATATTTGGAGAAAAATGAAATGGAGCGAAACATCATTTTTGAGCATACAATCCATGTCTGCGCGTGTGTTCACGAGAATAACAAAAGCGAATACACAGGCGGTGGACGACTCAATCGATTTAACTCAAACATTTTTTTGAATTTCCGCGCGAATGAAAATATCATAAGGAAGTGGATGCCAGCGCATAAGTTTAAGCACGTGGGGATTTATACTATAGAGAATGTGAGCCATGACAGGGGTAGTCGCAGGGGGGACGTAGGGCTAGTAGGTGGTGAAGGCGGAGGAAAAGTGTCCACCTCGAATTATTTTTTTACATCCTCTGATTCATCCGGTTCGCTTGCGATGACCAGTTCGTCCGGTTCAATTGGTTTGTCTGGTTCCTCTACTGATTCCATCTCCTCCATGTCCTCGTACGATGATGACTTCACGTCCACCGAGGAGGACGAATCGGAGGAGTGCGAAGATGTCGGGGAAGTGGCGAATAAACATGTGCAGAAGAACCACCAAGGAGGTGCTGCCGCCCCCATGGAGAAGGAAGCGGAGTCATCCCCATGTGACGAAAACGCAAACGGGAAAAAGGACGGAGAGGATACAAATGGGGATCTCTCTGGGGAAAAAGCGACCATGCATATGGATCAGCCGATTAGTGTGAAGTCCAAGAAGAAGACAAAAAAGAACCTCAATGAAAAGGGAGAAGCGGACGAAGAGGAAGCGAAGATAAACGAATTGAAAGGGAACAAGAGAAAAAAAAAGAAGAAAAAAAAAAAGCTAATGAGGATGATGCAAAAAAGGAGAAGTGACATTTTGGATAATCAGGACGATGGAAGGTACAATGATGGAACGGAAAGGAACCCTTTACACGACACGAACTCCTTGCACTCCAACACCATAAACCCCATCCTGAACTTCCCGTCCTTTTTCAAAAGCACCAGTAGAAACATCAACAGCAGTAGCGAAAAAAGGATGTTAAGGAGGCAAAGGGCCAAAGCCAGGATGGAGGCAAGGAGGGACAGCATCCTGAGCAACAACAAGTACATTTCTTACATAAAAAAAATAATAAAAGAAAAAAATATTCTGATCAACCTACAGCTATTTACATTTTCGTACAAGGATAATAATATCATTACACTAAATGATAACATGAAGAAATTTAAAAATTACAGAGATGTCTTTTTTAACAATAAAAATAGCTACCTGAGGAGTGAGAAGAGAAAAAGGGTAAATCATAGCAGTAGAATTAAGAAAAAAAATGTGAAGGTCTTAATTACGCAGTCGTATAAAAACTTCTGCGCCTTTAACATTATTGGGAAGAAACACAATTTAGAGGTGTGGAAAATTTCCAACAAAATAAACTTAAAAAATTTAATGAGTTATCAATATGATAAATCCAAAATATTTTACCTCAAAAGTGGTAGCCTATTGAGCAGTATGAAATTTAGCCCCACGAAGACGGACCAGGTTAGTAGCGAAAATGCCTCTAGTGATAATCTGAATATGACATGCTTTTACAACTTTCTGTCAAGCGAAGTCAAGACTGGTACTCTGTACGAGCAGGAGAACAACGACACGTATGTGCGAATCATTTGGAAGTTTAAAAAAAGCGACATGAGTGGACCAAATGGAGATAATAACCCCAGGAGCATCCGAATCAGTGCAGAGGATGTAAAGGGTAAAGACAACAGCGCTGTAGGAGGGCTGGATGATTGTGGATCGAGAAAGGATAAGGAATTTTTCGAACTGAAGTCGTTTAATATAAATTATGAGACACAGAACATTGAGGGTCTGTTTAATTTTAAATATGAGGAGAACCAGTATGATAGCAGCTTGATCAACACAACGGAGGAGTCCTCCTTCAGTGATGACACGAGGATTGTTTCGAATGGTTACGATTGGGAAGGTCATCCCGCGGGGGACAATGGGGAGAAGGCCTCCACGAGGTTGGTGCCTAGTAGTACTAGCAGTAGCGAGGGGAGTAGCGGAAGGAGCAGTGTAACAAGCAGTGTAGTAAGCAGTATGGGAGGAGGAGACCTCGGCATCTTAGGTGCCGGAACGGAGCTGAGCGTCCGCACCAAAGGGACAACGAACAAGCAAGGGAAGCAGGGAAATTACAAAGACTCCATGGGGGGTAAGGTAAAAAGTGGTGCCACCCATTTGGAGGCAAAAAAGGAGAAGGAAAAAAAACTTGATAAAAAAAAAAACGACAGTCATGTAAATAAGGAGGCAGAAGTGGAGGAAGAACATGGACTTCGGGAAATAATTTATCGGAAAGACATGAAATGCATCTACATTTACAACATTTATTTTAAACTGAATCGTTTTGTGAAGAAGTTGTATTACTGCAGTGACGTGAAAAAGGTGTACTTCTCGACCAGCATAAACAGGTGCAAGAATTTGTTTTATAATTTTGAAAATAACAATGTGCGTCTTTGTTACTATAACAATAAGGAGACGTACGATATGTACAGCTTGAGCATATCGAGAAATCTCTACAACAACCTCCAGGTGCAGACCTATTTGAACCCAGTGCACTTGTCCACTTTCGTCCCCAACATTTTGTTGCAGTACTACAGTTTTTGGTACAATTCGGATGGAAGTATTATTGGGGAAATAAAAAGTTTGAAGAAGAATCGGAAGAACAGAAATTCGATTATCTACATTAGATTATTCGGTGGAGAGGGTGATGGACTTGTTCCCACCGAAGAGAAGGGCAAAAGGAACAAATGTTTGAGTTTTGTGAAGAGGGGGTTACACCTGCATGGTGCAGAGAGTAAACATATGCCTAGTGTGCAGCATTATGGGGTTGTTCAGAAGTTACAAATTTTTAATGCACCAAAAAACTCAGGTAAAATCACATCCTTGAGAGTGAACAATGATTACAGAGCCATGACCCTTATTAACATCCTGAGTTATGAAAATAACGAGGTGTATAGAGATTTTTACAACCTGTTGATGAAATTTGATCACATTACCTATATACTAATTTATACGTTAAGCGTTCCTTCCCTTTTTGGAAGTACCTCCGAAAATGTGGATGTGAGCAGCATGCCCATAACAGTGGACTTGGTGGAAATACCAAGGTTAAACTTGACCCTACGTAGAAACAATGTAGACATAAGAATGGGTGTGGGTGAAAGGGATGACGCAGGTGAAAGGCATGGTGTTTTGTCCCCCGGAGGGGCGAAAAAGGATTCTTATAAATACCACTTCGAAGAACTGAACATGTATTTATACACAGGAAATCTCCAAAAGTATAGTTACATATACAATGTAATAAAAAAGATGAATAATACAGTTCTACTGAAGAATAGCAAAAGTGATTTCTTCTTTCTAGTATCCCTCCTGAACAAGCCATTTTTTCTCAACATTGCAAATTTGTATAAAGAATTTAATAAGAAGAATATTCACCTGTGTACTCTCTTGGAGAAACATATAAACATCCTCCTGAAAAATCACATGTACGTAACTATTTATTATCATAATTTTAATATAAACATGAATTTGAATAAGAACGTGGATGTGCTTAATGAAAACACAGAGACGAACACGGCGTCCAGTTTGCAGTATATCATTTTGTCCGTCCATACTTCCAAGCTGTTTATTAATTTCACAAATATTTACAGCTGCTTCTTTTTTATCGTGTACAAGTATATACAGAAGGAGCATGAAGAGGTGGTTGAGTACTGCAACAATTTGAGTGTCTGCAAGGATGATATTAAGGAGATAAAATATTTGTTGAACATTTTAAATTACTGTGATAGTAGTATATTTTCTGATGTGGATTCGTGTGCATGCAGATTGAAAATATTTATCACTCTGTGCAAGCAGATAAAAATTATTTTGCGGAAGAAGAGACATCGAATGGGCAATAGGAAAGACATGTGGAATATGGAGCAGTACTATAACATTTTCCACTATGTAAAATCTCTTTGGAATTTTGACAAATCAGGACCAAATGATAATAACTCTTCCAGTGGCAATGAAGCATATAACAGCGGAGCGGATGCTAATCATTATTCTACCGGTAGAGGTGCGAATAGGAGAGGCAGTAAAGGTGGAAATGGCGCTACACATGGAAGAGACACTAAAAATGGAAGGAGAAAAAATCAAATGCATGATACAATGAACAAAAGTGAAGGAAGCTCAAGTGTATATGGCCTGTCGGAAAACTCGTCCTCCTACGACAGTAACTACGTGTCATCTGAAAAGGAAAACAAAAAGAAAGAATTAAATGCACAGGATAAAATCATCGATGGAGAGGATGACGATTTGAGTGGCAAAAAAAAAATGGTCAGGAAGAGTACCGATTTGAATAAAAAAAAGGGTGCAACAGGAAGGCGCGGAGAAAGTCAGATGCGTAGTGGTCAGAAAAGCGTCCAAGATAAAAACATTAATGAGCCATATGAAGAGAACAATAATATGCACATCTACATGTACTGGGATATTATAAAAGACATTCAGTTTTATATAAACAATCTGATTTATATTAAGGCCAAGTGCAAACTAACCATCGATGAGGAGATTTTCCTCTACCAAAATTGTAACATCAATATACACAAGTACAAGCTAATTTATAATAGGTATATTATCCTGAACAGCATTTTGGAATCGAAGATGACGTCGGACAAGTGCAACCCGCTTTTCTTTTACAACATTTTGAGGAAAAAGCAGCTGGAGAACCAGGCCAAGATGAGGAAGTACCAAATTCAGTACAGGAATAAAAGCAAAATTGATGAGCTACACCCGACTAAGAAGTTGGAGATGAATTTGGCCTCACCGGAGCACGGCCTAATGTATAATCAGAGCGGCTACGATGTGGCGAAGAAGAAAATGCAACCTACAATGGAGAGTAAAACCCATTTTGAAAACATAAAGAGTAATTTCGAATCGCTGAAGAATTGTCTGAGTGGCAAGAAGGAGAAGCAAGCAAAGGATAATAATCTGGTTGTGTCAATTAATGTTCCCAAAGTGGAAGCAGTAAAATACATTAACAACATCGACGAAAATATATTCATGAACATCAATCTGTATGACAATATTGGAAATATTATTAACAATATGAGTTACAAAAAGATGGAGGACAAAAATAACGTGGATGCTCTGAACTACCTGAATACTCTAATCAACTCATTGGGAATACAAAACTTTTTCATCATCTACAATTACTTTATTAACAATTTAAATGTGAAAATCATCAAAGGGGAAAACACCTTCCTCTATGGAAACCTTCTCTCAAGGTACTTATACTTTTACAATTATAACATAAGTCAGTATAGTAAAATTATTTACATATTCATATTTATTATTAATCATCAGGAAATTGTAAACATGCTTCCAAAAATTGACGACCAGAAAATGAAAAAGAATTATTTGAACTTCTTCAAAACGAATGACTCTGTTTTTAACTTCTTTAATGATATTTTTAAATTTGTTCAGAATTTCCAAAAGGAAAGAAAAAAAAAAATTAACAAGAATATTCTACCCCTCACGGTGGACAATAATTTGTCCATATCTATATCGGATGTAATTAAGTACCGACTCATAATTAACATAAACGTAGATGATTACATGTGTGAGAAGAGGGTCATACAACCTTTTGATGTAAAGCCAAATGTGCATGTCGGTTTCGATCTCCTCAATGAGTTATGCTTTAGCCCTTTTAAGAAGCTATACAAGTACCTGCGCAGGGTGAAGCGAACTGGAGAGGCAACCCTCCGCGGCAGAGATGCACCGTCCCAAGTGGTTAGCGACCGAAGAGAAGTAGACTCCAATTCGGATAAGTCGCCGAGTCTAAATCTGGCTAACCGATTTACAAGCGCTAAGAAAAGTATGCTCAATTTCAACTTTGAAGAAAGTAATATGTCGTGCCAAAATAGCTATTCGAAGAATTTTATTCAGAATATGAAAAATGATTATAATGCCTATCTGGACTATCAGCGGAAGAAGGTTGAATATGAGTTCATCGGGTTCAGCGCGGAGGAAATTAAAATGACATTCAATAATATTAAAAAGTTGAAGGAGTACGTAAACATGTTCGTTAGCATTAAGGACATTTTGTTAGAAATTTTCGTCGGGGACAATAAGCTGCTCGAGTGCATAAATGAGTTCATCGAGGGGGCTGATGAGAACGCCACCGGGAATGGGAGCGGCTGCGGAAGCGACAGCGATGAAGACAACTGTAGCCAGGAGGACAGTGGCAAGGGTAACGGTAGAGACGGAGGGATAACCGCAGAGAAGGAATTCTTCGCCGAGGAGAATACCCCCTGGAACGAAGACCTCGTGGATATAGACACACACAACGAGCAAGGCCAAAGTGACAATCGCAAAAAAGGGGCAGAGGAAAACCAGGCTACAAGCTACTTTCTGTACAAATTTGGAGTTCTAGGAAAGGCAGAAAAGGAAATCAATTTAAAAATCCTCATAAGGTGTTTCATGTCCAAGTATGCGCATGAATATTTAGCCATGATAAACCCAAACCTGAAGAAGAAGAGCGCCAAGAAATTCATTAACATCGTCTTGCTCTACATGCTAATTATGAACCGCAAAATTTTCCTGCACCAATGTATAAGTAGCGTTATAAGTATTTTGAATATTTTCAAGGTGTACAATTTGAAGTTGAAGCTTTTGAAGCAGAAGGAAAAGAGCGTACGCGATAACGACAGTGCATCCTCTAACTTGAATGATGGGACGAACACCCTTCTGAGCAAGCTTCTGAACAAACAACAGAAAATCATAAACAAAGCCATCAACACGATTCAGCTAGGAACGAAAAACCTCACGCAGCTGACGCTCACGGAGAGGCACTACTTCACAATGAGGAGCAAATCCAGCCACCAAAAAATCGCGCACAGAAATTTGGACCACAATTCGGATTCGTCAGATGTGTCTACGTGCTACTTCTCCAGTGACCAGTACGAGGAGGGGCAGAGAACTCGCCCTATAAAGAGAGAAGAAAATGAAGGGGAAAAATACTTGAACAGTTTAGGGGAAAAGATGGTGGACCCATTATTGCTGGGTTTGCGCCAGGAAACACAAGAGGAGGATAATGCGAAGAACGAGAGCAAAGTGCAGAACGGGGAGAGTACCAACTGTTACTACACATACGACCCAAGGCTGCTAATTTTTGAGTACACGAACAATTTAATAATACGAAAGAAGCAAGTAAAAATGATAAAGAAGTTTAAGAGAGATTTTATAAAGAAAAAAAAACAGTACTGTTATCAAATAATTATGGGAGGAGGAAAGACAACGGTGTTATCACCACTCTACTTTTTAATCTTTTCCAACTACTTCTTAGTGTTTAATATGTGTCCCCATCCCTTAATTCACTTTACAATAAATACATTCCGATCAAGATTTTCTTCGATCATAAAGAAGAATATCTTCTACTTTAATTTCAGTCGATACGATAATATCACGACCGACTTGTACATAAGTCTGTGTAGTGCACTAGAGAACAAATACATTTTGGTGACGAGCCCAACTTGCATCAAGTCTCTGTTCCTTAAATTGGTGAACACAATTCAGGAGCTAAATAATATCAAAACATTTGACATGATTAAGCAGAAGGCGAAAACACACATTACGGATGCCCTAACAAAATTTCTAGGGTTTCAAAATGATGAGAATTCAATGAATGCGGGTAATTCCGCTGGACTCAGAAAAACAAGCACAAGTATGTCTGGTTATGCGTCGAAACCTGGGCACCCCCCAATGACAAGTGATTATAATATACTCAAAAAACAGCTCGATTTGTCCGTTCGTATTTTCGACATATTAAATAAGAGTATTTTACTGATTGACGAAATTGATAACGTTTTGCATCCCCTCAAGAGTGAGTTACATTGGCCTTACGGCACAAATAGAGAAATTGATCTGGTGAATGTGGTGAGAAATTTTACTGATGTGTTCATGAACAACCCTTATTTGAAATTTTTGTATGATAATAAAAACGAAGATGTGGATATTAGGAGCGTCAAAATTGCGGTAGCAAATCGGAAGGATGTAAGCGCCAATTTGTTGAATCATATTAGACAGCTGCGGGAGGAGGAGCATGCCCAGAGACAGGCGCAAAGACAGTTACAGTGGCAATTGCAGCTGGAGGGAGGTAACGATGAGGATGATGGAATGAGGAGGACAGCTCACCATGTCAATTACGGAAGTACGGGAGGTAGCAATTCGTATCATGTGGATCATCTCCGAAGTGATAACAAAATGAGATTCAAAAATGGAGCGATCAACAATTTTAACAACTCCTTATCAACGCAGTTGTATAGAAAAGAAGATGCAGGTGATTATGGGGGGGTACACGGTACTATGGGAGAAGGTGGCATATCTGGGGGTGCACTTGGTGGAGTAATTAATGGAACAACCAAGTATAGATCTGTGAAAATGCCAAACAGCGGAGAGACAGGCACAACATATACTTACATCGATTTAAGCCTATTCAGATATAAGCTAAGTTGGGTCCTGATCGATTTTTTTTTCTACCCTGTATGTAAGAAGCTAACCATCCCGATGTACATCCACTTTAATACAAATACAGAATATATAGAGGACCTTCTAAACACATTTAACAAAGAAATTGAAAAGGGGATAAAAAACCACGATATTTCATTGATCCCGCATTTCCACATAATAAATTTTAAGTGGTATGATAATATAATATGGATCATTGCTCGCTATGTGTATTACTTTTTACTATGCTATAAGATAAGTGGAGTGTCGCAAAAGGTGATTGAGTCCTATTTATGCATACCTCTGTGCATCGGGTACAATGACATAAACGTGAAGAATAGGTGCAGGGATAACAACTTCAGTAGCTCCACGATAAGGAGATTATTAAATATTAAAAAAATTTCGAACAAGAATTATTCGACCGATGCAAGCAATTTGAGGAATGAAGATTTGCATGTCCTATCGAGTGATTACCATTTTAAAATCTTTGAGAAGATAAACACGTTGGATTATATTTTGTGTAAAATTTTAAATCTTTGTCGACTTTACATCAATGGAATTTTGCCATTCGTTTTTTCTAAAGTGAATACAGTGCATTATGGAATCCTTTCCGCGGAACAGATTAATAGGTGCCAAATGATCATGAGCAAGAGTAGGTACTTCCTGGCAGTTCCTTACATTGGCAAAGACACTCCCTCTGAAATGTCCGAGTTTACAAATGTGGATGTTGTCGTTTCGCTCACCATTTTATCCTATCGGTACCAGGGTATGAGGTACTTTGACTTTATCCTGAGTATGAAAAATATTTTGTACAACTATTCTCTCGAAAAGGATTACGAGCGTGTGCAGAGCGAGTCCTCCGACGGAAGCTCCAGTGATGAGGGAAGCGTGAGGGACGAGCGAAGCAACACTTATGAGCGAGGCAGCAGTGAAGAGGAAGGCAGCACTGATGACGCACTTGCGGACAAGACAGACGGGTACACCCACTCGAGTGGGGATCAAGCTGGTGAAGGAAGTTCTGCGAAAAGGAGCAGCTTGATGGAAACGGATACGTCTTGCACCGGGGCCACGTCCACCGAGGAGGCGAATGGGAAAAAATCGAATGAAAAAACGCGAAAAACACGCAAAGGAGAAGTGAAGATGAGGAAAAATAAGGACAAGCAGACAAGTGAAAACATGAATAGAAGCACAAAACAGATAGGGGAAAAGGTGGAGAGAAAAGGAAAGCAAACGAAAAGAGAATTAAAAAACATGTATGATTTGTACAGAGAAGTGATTGAAACCAGCGGAGCAAAAATAAGGAAAACGAAAAAGGATATTAACAACACGAACTTTTTCATATACGATAACAATATCAACAAGAAGAGAGAACAAAATAGGAAAACCAAATTAGGAAAAAATTACGTAGATAATATAGACAGGATAGATTTAAGTGATAAGGAAATGCTATACGATTTATACAATTTGACCAGAAATAACCCATTACTAATTAGTTATTTCCTGTTAGGAATTATTCTTAACAAATATATCAAGCATACAGAAAAGCAGCTTTCGTCCAACTCCCAAGATTTAACGAACAATGTTTTGTTTAAGTATGTTGTGGGGTATAGTGGGACAAGCAATGATATACTACCTGAAGAAATTCACAAGTGTAAATTTGAAAAAAGAACCATTGGTTCTATACTTAACATTATTAATGATCCTAAGATTGTGAACTTTATTTTCTTACCATCTCAAATTGCCCCCATTGATATTTTAAGGAGCTTGGCATTTTCAAAAGTAAAATTTAATAGCCTTATAGATACGGGCTACTTGATTAATAATATTTCACCAAAAAAAGTCGCCTATTACATTTTGCAATTCCTGGACTATATCGACTGTTGTGTGTACATTGATAATGGGAAGCACATGTGTATGTTGCCCTTGGAAAGGAAAAGGAGAGGAATGAGAAAAAAAAAAAAAAACAGAAATAAAGTTCTGATGGACTGCCCCGAAAAGGGGAAAGACGATAAGGTACGTGATGGGGGATATAGAGAGAAGACAACCCCAGGTGCGAGTAAAACGCGCAAGAATAACAAATCCGCAATGAAAAGAAGAAGAGGAAGAAGAAAGAAAAATGCAAGTAGTGACAAACAAAGTGGAAATAAAATAGAAAATAACCTGCACCTGAATGTGGAAATTATTCCGCTGCAGGATTGCTACGTGCCAATTAAGAAACGGTTCATCTATTTTGATCACATTAATACCTTTGGCCAGGACATAAAACAGTACGTAAATGCAAACAGCTTGGTGACCGTCAATATCGGGAATGACATTTCTTCTTTCAGCCAAGGTGTCTTTCGCTTGCGATCGATCGGCATGAACCAGAAAATATTCTTCCTCATCCCCATGTGCCTCGTCAAATTGATGAATGTAAACACGAGTCTGTTTAAGGACTCAATTTGTGCGCATATGGTGAAGGGTAAATCGGTAGGAGTACGGATGGGAGGAGGAAACCACCTTACCCACTGTAATAAACGACGGGGGGACATCTCCTCGCATGATGAGAAGCAAATGTTGAAGAGGTTTGCGAAAAGGAAGAAGCGAGTCCTGCTCGAGTGCAACAAGAACTACAGCGAAGGAAGTCAGACAGAGTCTGAAAACGGCATGGGGGAGGCGACGACACTCCTTAGTAGCAGCAGCGGAGAAAGCGCGTCAAGCAGCGAGAGCGTTGAGAGCTGTGAAGTTGGACATGGGAAGAAATCCCCTGCCACCGATGAGATAAACATAAATGGTGATGGGACGGTTCGTCAGGATGACGACATCGAGGACGTTCCCCTGGGGGAAGACGAAGAGAAGGATGATGACGCCTTACATGTGATGGACCCACGGGAAGAATGCATGTTCGTGATCGACTGCTACAATAGTATCCACTTGGAAGAAAACTCAAAGGAAGAGGTTCTAAAAGAGTTGACGTACTACCTCATTCTTAACAATATAAGTAACAACATAAAGCAATGCGAGCTTCTGTGTGTGCATGGCATAGTTAACATAATAAAGAGGAAGAGCATCAGGATGCTATTAGATAATTATATAAACATTGGTGTTTTTAATTATAAAGATTATTTGGGTATTTTCAACACAAGTATTGATTTTGATGTGCAGACACAGGTACCCTCCAAGAGCAGCTCGTTACTTTGCATAGTTCAATTGATTGAGAAGTTTCAAAATATTTTCACCAAAGAGGATGAATTATTTCTTCAGGACATTATTTATCGCTACTTTTGCTTACATTATGATATTTCTAATAAAACAATTGTAATGTATTTTGACGCCTTTTTTCCTCGAAAGAATTTTATGAGTACAAATTTACCGCACGTAATTTTAGACCTATTTGAAAAGCTCAAGAAGATCAAAAAGGACCACTGTGTTCTGTCGTATAAGAAAAACTTCATGAAGAGGAACACCAGCAATGAGTACAACGCGGAGGATGATAACTCAATAGATAATCACTTGTTCAGTCTAGAAAATGAACAGGAGAAAGAGAAGGAAAAAGAGAAAGAAAAAGAAAAGGAAAAGGAGAAGGAGAAAGAGAAGGAAAAAGAGAAAGAAAAAGAAGAAGAAAAAATTCCGGAAGATCAAAAAAAAAAAAATATAAAATGTAAGAAAGATGAATACAAATTGTATAGATGGACCATGGATGATATTAATTCAGATTTATTTGGAGCTAAGACAAAAAAAAGAGGAGATCAAAACAAAGGGGAAGAAACAACTGGTACTGCCATGTCTTACATAAATAATAAAGTTGTAGAGAAGTTGACTCGATTGACGGAAGATAACCATCTTTTCATCCCCCTGAATAAATTACCAGTGAATGATATATATATGAACTTTCCCTCCTATGTGTATGTGTCCAAAAATTTTATAAACATAGACTCAATCAACACCAAGAAGGGAAAGAAGCTCATGAATGTCTTGGTTGTTATTGAGTGTGTGCACAATGCACAGGAACAAGTCACTTCCTTGAATCATCAGAGACACAACAACTACGACGAATATGCAGAAAGAGAAGCTTTGCAAAATATATGGAATATTTTAAAGGAAGATAATCTACAAGAGATTTTAAATATTTTGGACATCAATCCTTTTAAGTATTCGTATGACTTGGCGAAAGTTATGACGGACCATGTGAAGAACAGTGAGTTTGATGGCAACAAGTTTGACACCTTCATTTCGCTACTAAACAGAATGGAACTTTACTTTAGTAATAAAAACAAAAAGTACATCATTTTAAGCTTGCAAGAGGCGGAGACCTTGCGTTATTACATCCATAAGAGGTTCAGTAGGCAGAAAGTGGAGATGGCTTTGTCCGGTAGATCCTCCCATTTGGTGAAAACGGACAGTTTTTACCTTCCTTCCAAGGTGGAACCAAACAATAATGCTAATTCTGTCCTACAGGGTTGTATGGAGAAGAAAGGGAAAATTCACTCCATTGGTGACAACCTTTTTGATGGCCCCAACGAGGGACATACCAGCAATGCGCAAGTGGAGCAAGGGGGCCCAGATTTAAATCACAAAATACACAACTTCATGGAGGAAGAAATGTTCCAACAAAATTTAATAAGCGATGGGTGGGGATTGAACAACAACCTGTCCAGCATAACACTGGAGGGAAAGGACGAAGCGGACGATATGGATCACTTTTTTATGGAGGACATTAATAAAAAGGAAGTGGAGAAAAAGACAAACGTGAGTCATACAAGCAACTGGGAGATTACACAAAAGGGGACCGTTAAGGAGGAACAAAACGTAGAAATGCTGTCCATCTATGAGAAGGAAAAAATGGAAATCGAAACAATAAAGGAGGAAAACTTCTTTTCAGATATGTACGTAAATTTGTACAACTACCTCTTTTGGTTCACCCCTATCGAAATTACGGACCGAAATAATCTGAGGAAGTATCTGTCCAGGCAAATACAAATAGTGTACAGTGTATGTAAATTTTTTAATTCTGATCGGAAATTTATTGACGCACATGTGAATTTGTTACTACAGTACTTGAATTTTAATTCACCCAAGCACCGATTTAGCTATTTTAATGATTTATATCTTCTGAGGAGAATAATGAAGGACAGTCTAACCAAGAGTAATCTGAAAATGCCTGAGAAGAATAGCCTGCTCATCAAGAAAAATATCGAATTAGAAATGGTAGAAAAAAAGCTTTTTGAAGGGAATGGAGACATTTATGCTTTTAAAATTATGCAACAAACTGTTCGACAAAGTTTAAAAAAAAAACAATTAACACTTCAAGAAATTTTTGACAAAGATGATTTAGATTACATCTGCAGCAAACAGGACATACGAATCCTTTTCGAATTTTTAAATATTCGGGATAGCAAATCTGTAAATGTTTTATTTGACATTTTGGGTTCCACCATTTCTTTGCACGAGCTTTGCTTTACTCTGAACCCTGTGGAAAATATCAAAAAAACAGATTTCCACAAGGATCTCTACACTGAGGACAAGAAGACATACGCCGAGGACTTTGTCAATGAAGCTGAAAAGTACCTCAAGAATTTTAGGTTTTCCCTCACGGAGCATACGTATTTTAAGGTGATATGGTCTGGTAGGATATCCAGCCAGCGAATTGTTCAGGAATCGCTGGACGGCCGGGAGGCAGGAACAATTGGCAGCGATAAGAGGGCCCCGTTCGGCAGTAGCGCGAACAGGAACGCCATCCCGAATGAGCGAGACCCCTACAACAAGTCGCCAACGAACGATTTGCTAAGCGACATTTTTGGATTCAACAAGTCGCAGAGAGACGAGCAGATTAACCACCCAGTCAAAAATTCGGAACAATTTTATATCTACGAAGCGGAAAATATAGACCCTAAAGACAGAGGAATGATGAGTAAAAATAAACATAAAATTATTTTTGGCCACTATGCTTCGACCAAGCCAGGGGATAATAATTTCCCAATATTAGAAATGACAGACATATCGATCAACAGCATGTACACAAGTGCATCTGCCCAAGAAATTCTTAACCTTCTCTTCCCTTATCCTAAAAAATATTTGTTACTGTGGCATGAAGATTATTCCATAAAAAGCGTCGATGAGTGCCTGCACATATGGAAGCCCGTCTTGTCTTCTACCCATATGTCCGGCACCACCTTCCTGGGCTTCGTGGTCACCGTTGGCCCGCACCAGCCTCCCTTGAACAAGATCCGGGCTCTACCAAAGTCGCTGATCAAAGTGGTGCAGAATAAGAAGTTTGCCACCTTTTACTCGGACAATAGTTTCTCCATAGACAACTCGGGCATTTTAAATTCTCTCAACGTTCATTTTTACAGTAAGTGCAATACTCGTGAGCATAGCGGTCATGAGCGCAGCGCTGGCCAGTGCAGGGCGCGCCCTCTCCCCCCATTTACCGCTCCTCCCATTTGCCACTCATCCCATTTTACATTCGCCCCCCTTTTTCCCCTTTTAGATGGCCTGGACGTTAACAACTACGAAGAATTCCTCTTTAGAAATTTCTCCCTTAGCATTGCCGCTAGGGTTAAAAAGATCAAATCTGTGAATGAAGACATCTTCAATTTATGGGGCGAAGACAAGCCGCAGGAACAGGAGGATGCAGACGAGACCTCCCCCGAGTGGGAAATAATTCCCCAGTGCTTTTAGTCCTGTTATACGTTGCTTCATCGTAAAATAGGCCATGTGTTTTTGCACATTTGTGACGTAAACAATTTTTCCTCGCCTTTTTTCATTAGCCCCATGGGGAAAAGTGCTGCCCACATATCACGGTGAAAAAGTTTGCGGCATATTCTGCGCATGGGTACATGTGTGCACATTTTTTTTTTTTTTTTTTTTTTTTTTTTTTTACCCATTTATGTTGCATTTTTGAAAAAACCGTCCTGTTTTAAGATGATAAACGGGGAAAAAAGGACAAAATAAATGATGAAATAGCATTTATGTGCAAAGAGCATATTTTACCACCGATGAAGGTAGGTACAGGGAAGCAGATTTGTTGTCCACAAGTGGCGGCAATGATTTCCTTCAAAAGGAAAAAAAATTGCGAGGGAGTAATGTATCTCCACAACGGGAACAAACCACATTTCGCGCATCTGCTAATGATCAATTTGGCATAGGATCGTTCCTCTTTGGGATTATTTTCCCCGGGGAAAATTCTCACATTGTAGGCATATAAATGTATATACCGTTTAAAAATGTGTGTGCGCGAGTTACCGTCTTCCCCTGCTTGGGGGAGAGGAGGGTCACTGCCTGAGTTTAAAATGTTACACCGTTTTTTAAATTAAGCGTGCAATTTTTCTTGCACTTAGATTGAGTTTTAATTGGAAGTCTATTCAAAGGCTTAACAACATAGTATGGGTGTTACGGGTATGCATTCATTTGTCATTAGCTGGTCGTTAAAAATAAAAAAAGGGGGTGCAAAGATGGGGTCGCATAAGCATACATATATACGTGACGCACGTACATGCGTGCACGCACTGGGTACTTGTATAGCTGTGTAATGTATATAATAAGTGTGCTCGCGCATGGGATGTGTGTGTGTGTGTAAAATGTTTTCTTCTTCACTTCTTTTCCTCTGGGAAATAACCACATTTTACACTAAATAAAAGCACACACAGAGAGAGAATACAGTTATTTTTAATTCCTCTTTTTCTTGTCCATTTTACGCTTGTAGAACAACAACTCATCGCCCTCAATGATGTAACCATCAGCCTTGCCGCACTGTCCAGGCCTGCTGCTAATGCAAGCTAACACTCTTCCCTGTTTGAACTGTTCCAATAAAGCTGGATCGATCTGCTTGGATTTTCCTATCTTTTTAATTACCGAGTATGAAGACTTTGCCTTTTCATCTTTCTCTTCATTATTTTCCTCATTTTCTTCAGCTTCAGCTTTGTTGTCCTCTTTGTTGTCTTCATCGGTTTTTCCTTTTTTCTTCTTTCCTAGGGTTACACCAAATGTGTTTTCGTACCTATTAGTGGTTAAAAAAGAGGGGATTTTTTTTTAATGTTTGTAAAAAAAAAAAAAGTAGCAGTGATATTATTTACAAGTTGGCTTTTCTGGATATAGTTTTTTTTTTTTCTTTATTCAATCGGTAATTCCAGCTATATTATGAATATATTATATCCACAAATTTGTTTTCGGAAATTTAAATGGTATATATTCTTATCATCATCAAAGAACAAAAAAGCCGCCCGCAGTTGGTCGCAGGGTCTCATTCCCCTTCCTTTTGTTTGTTTAACGTGCTCCGTTAGGGGCGTGCCATCTTTTTCTTTTGTTCCATTTTTTCGACTCTGCTGGACATTTTTTTTTTTTTTTATCATTGCATTGGCGTGGCGCTCAGAACTTACCATGTAGTAAATGGATGGGAATCAATCAGAACGATGCAGTTTTTGACCAACGTCTTTGTTCTGACCAGCTCATTGTTGGAAGCATTATAAACAACGTCGATAATTCTGGTAATTTTTGAAACTCCAAATGCTGGCCATGAGAAGCTGCCTGAATCGAGTTTGATTGCACGGTACTTGTAATTTCTTCCTCTTCCCCTAACAACATGGACTTGTCTACTGCCCAACTTGGTATTCGATGGGGGCCTTCCTAATTCATACTTTCTCTTCTTCTTGTGGATTTTTTTCTTTCCACCGGTAAGGCGGAGTTTGTGTCGGCCGTCTCTGCTGATACCCATCTGTGGGGGGGCGCCAAAAAAAAAAAAAATATATGTATATTATGTGTACATTTCCACTAAGCAAAGAATAAGAAAAGCGCATTTTTCTCAAAAATGTGGACGGCTAAAATGTATAGTGTTTCATTCAAAATAGGCAAAAACCGGGGGCACTTTTTTCCCTTTTACGAAAAAAGCATGTGCATATGCAACTTGGTTTTGCCTTACACTTTTCACATATAAGTAATATGTAACGCATGAAGGTTCATTCACGTAGAATATTTTTACATGTACAAGTGGGTGACAACTTTTTATTTATGGTATATTTCTCTCCATATAATGCAAATGGTTAAGGGTGGGGAATAAAAACACATGGGGGATATATTCACTAGGAGCAACGGCCAAATGACAAGAAATAAATGTAAATGCATCCGGCATGTGCTACGCGGTAGTTATGCAGTTCATCAGAGAATGTACGACATTTTCCCGCAACGCGAGCATAACGGTTTTAACAGTGTGACGCCCCTTCCTGCGCGCGTATGTACGGATGGAGAACAACACCGCACGTGCAGCTTCGCGCGCACGATGTGCTTCTCTGTTGTGATCACTACAGTATCGCGCTGAGTGATACAAGCTTGTACAGTTGTGCGATTGTTAGTACGTATAAGCAACGATGCAAGATCTACTTTCATTTACTTATTCCTCTCTTATCCGCTCGACTTACCTTTTAAGCGACTAAACAGTGTACTGTTATTTTTCCGTTATATGAATGAAGAAGCCTCTTGAGAAATTCCTTAACGTTAGTTTGTAAAATGAAAGGAATTCATATTTTGATAAATATGAGAATGGTTACAAGTGATCGCAAAAATGTTTATAATTTTTTTTTTTTTTTTAAATGAAAAAAAATAAATACTACATGCGTATATAAAATTTTATAAGCTTTTTTTTTTTTTTGAGGGCGTCGTATAATTAGGATTCACAAATGTTCCAAGCACGTATGCGCGAAAAGGGTGCACGTGAAACGTAGCCTTTTAAAAAAAAAAAAAAAGAGGTATTATATATAGAAATGCGCACGTATATTATATCATTTATACTTTTGCGGCGCCCATTTGGAAACGTGTATGTATATAATATATGAAGAGAAACATATATGCCGCGCGAAAAATAAATGTCATTAAAAAATATGGGTTCTTAATTCCCCGCTTAATGTGGTAGAAAGCTTAGCGGGTACTATGCTGATACAAATGGCAACTGCGCATAGTTATAAAATAGTGCACCAGTTTTTATTGTTCTTCTTTCACGTTCAACCCGTGCGGATATTTTTTTGTATTCACCTCACCCACATATGGTATATATTATGGCATGATGCGATGACCTCTGATACAGAGCTTGCAGCTTTCCTTTTTGTAGCAAGGCGATTCCGTTTCGGATTGGGTTTTGCCAATGATCCCTCTGTGCCCAGCGGCGGCGTCAGAGGGTAACCGCAGGGGGTTATATATATACCACACCGGGGAGGTACCCCAAAAAAAAAAAAAAAGCTGCACGTGGGAAAATATGGGCTTTATATATATACGCACAAGTGACACCACATTAGCGCCTTTTTAATATGTCATATAAGGGGGGGGAAAATAATAAAAAAATTGCTATGAGTAGGTGAGTCCGTATTGTACGTAACCTTTGTGATGAACGAATGCATATATATATGTATATCGTTTGGCGATATTTGTGCATATTCACATTTTACCGATTCGACTTCTTCCCCAAGAGATCCAAAATAATAATAAAGAATCGATGCGGTGGCGGCTGAGCCTTCTTTAATGTGTATTTTTTTTTTTTTTTTTTTTGTCATGCATACTTTACCAAAACGCTTGCACAGGAAGTTCTTTCGATCATTTTTCGCGTCGCATATGTATTTGTTTGTTTTTTTTTTTTTAACTTTTCCGTCAATAGCGTTTGCGCAATTTAATTGGTGAAAGAACATAGCTGTTGGAAGGTATATTTGTGTATGCATAATTATGAGGCATCATACGGGGATGATGTGATTAATCGAGGTGGAAAAAATAGGAACATACGTTACAAAAAAAAAAATAATTCGTATAAAAGGATTAAATGTTCAATCGCGCCTTGCTTTACATTTATATGCTAATTGCAGAATTAATGAACACTGCAGAAGAACCCTTTGTTATTTTTCCTTTGGCTTATTTGAATTTACATTTACGGCTCCTTTCACGTGGCGTAACGTGTTAGCCTTAGTTGTACACCTGTGTGGAGGGTGCGATGGATGTATGCACATAACTCCCGCACATCGAACTCCAATCTGGTGGCACGTAAATAATTTGTTCTTTGACGTTTCCCAAAAGAGAGAGGGGTTAAGAACACCAATACGGTCTTTCACAAATGGGCAAATTTTTTAATATCAAATGAGTTAGGAATTTTCAAACAAAAATAAAAAAAAGTTAACAATGTTTTAATTTTTTATTTGGGGGGGGGTAACGAATAAATTCAAATTGGAAAGCATATATGACCGCCTACTTTTATCGTTAAAAGAGGGGTGTATAACGAACCTCTGTGCACGGGGTTCGTTACATATGGACGCTACATAAACGCATTACGTAGACAGTATGTTTAGTGCTTTTTACGTAGCGCGCTGGCCATTTTTGCACACATTAAAACGGAACTTTGGGGGTGAAAATGAACGAAAAATAGCAACTTGGGGGTGGTGACGGGGCACAACCCTAATGATGTGTCAACCGAATGGTGAAACGAAACAAATGGAATTGTCACCCTTTCAAATGTCTTCACTTCTTTTTCTTCAAAATTTTGTGTATAACGTCTGAAGACAACTTGTATATTTTGTTCTTGGCCTTTTTGTCGCACTTCCTCATTTTGGAAATATCCTTAATAACGGTCATATTTCCGACCTTCAATTCCCCCTCCAACTTTTTGGCCTTTTTCTGTTCCCTTTTTATTTTATTTTTTTTTCTGCGTTCGCTAATTTCGTTGAGCATATCATCTTCCAATTTTTTTCCCGCTTTGATCAATCGCTTCAAATGCGTATTTTTGTGATTCTTTTTCTTTCCGCTCACGTTATTTTTCTTTATCGTTTTGATGGTGCTGTCCTTGTTTTTTATATTTAAATAAACAACGTTCCTTTGAATCATTTTGTTAATTTCTTTTTGTAATTCTTCATTGTTGGCGAAGATGTTATCGCTATTTTCTTGTGGGGAACTACTGTCCATGTTGGCACTTCCACCATTGTTACTTTTGTCTGCCTCGGTACTTTGATTAGTTGCAATATCTTTTTCGCCTTCGGTCATTTTTACTTTCTGTTGCTTGAAGTATCGTTCTGTCGCTTTTTTTTTTTTTTTTTTTTTTTTTTTTTTCTTCTATTTATTCCCTTTGGTTGTTAACTTGGAAAAATAGTAAAAACTCCCTTTCTTGTTAGCTCAAAAATGGATCACTTTTCTTCTGCCCATTTTGTGGCCACATGGAAGAGGCGCGTTTTTATAAGAAAAAAAAAAAAAAAACAGGGTCATATGGATTTGCAGCAGAAGGAAGGTGGCAAATTAAAAAAAAAAAAAAAAAAAAAAAGAAAAAGAATGATCCTTCATAAACCTATTCCCATCGTCTAGGACTCTTCACGCGGCCGCAAGGCAGATTATATATTTTTTTTAATTTCTTGCCCTTGAGCAGCATGCAAAATAGGAACCTAAAAAACAAACGGTTTGCATTTTTTCGGAACAGGTCCTTTTGCATAAATTTGGGCTCTTGAAAAAACATTGGATTTTTTTTTTTTTGTTCGATCCCTTTCCCTAATTGCAATGTTTTTAAAGGCTTTCATTATGGTGCATACAATGCAAACCGTTCCTGGGGGATCATATCGGGGACAAGTGCCTTCCTCATTTGTGTAGATTTTTTTTTTTTTTTTTTTTTT